TTTAGTCTCATGTTGGAAGAAACTTTAAACAGACCTCTATCAGAGACTTTGGAAGATGATATTCCTGAGCAGGAACTTGGAGAATATTTACATTCTTATAAACAACTCAATACTGGCACAGGGACGCCGCAGGATGATGATATCGAGGAGAATGTCTTTGCTCTCGTTGACTCGGATGTAGAAAATGATTTTCCAATTGATGACAAAAGAACGTTCATCTAAAAGCAACTTACAATTGGAATAATTCATTTTGCTTGTTCTGTGACCATGTCTTCAAGAAGCTAATGAGTGAATGTTCTAGCTTCCTCTGCAGAAGGCTATATGAATATATTCTACATCTAGTATAGATAGGAAGGAATTAAGGCGTGCACGAACTCAGGACTGGATTTTCCTCGATTAGAAATGACTTTGGCTCTAGCACTGACCTTCAATTAAAATTGAACTCGACGCTTTGGTTTGTGTACGCCGATTTGTTTCAAACTGTAACAGATAATCATTGAATTATGATTTTTGCTGTCGCAAACACTTTCAAGTTAACCCCAAGCTGACAGTTGGGAAGTTTACTAGGCGGTTTTTCTTTAGCCAATGTCTAGGATTAAGTACTATTTAAAACATGAGCTGCAGTGTTTTATCGGATATAAAGATACGAGGCAAAGCCGAGTATCTATAGGTCTGATAAAACACGCCGACTGCGATGCGAATGTTTTAAATTGCTTCCAAAACGTAATTTTCAAAAGTATACGTTGTATAAGTCGAGAAATCAAAATTAAATTTAATGTAAATCATGGGAAATCTCTATCGCATATAAAGATACGACACGCTTATGATTTTTCTTTGAATGTGTTTCCCTCATGAATTATTGAGTTTTTGAAGTTTTGATTAAAACTGTATTGAGCAACCTTAAGCGGACACCCCTTTTATGCAGTCACGTTACAGTGACTGCCTAAAAGGGGTATCCGCTTAAGGTTGGCTCACATTGACTAAACATCATTTCTTTTGTATTTTCCTCATGAATTATTAATTATGAGATTTTAAAATTATAGGATTGATGTTCGATACGATACTATTCTGTATTAGTCTTTCATTAAAGCAGGAACTAAGTTACATTGGATTAAGTTAGTAGCATAATTAAAATAAATTTTCATGACAATCTAGCAAAATCTATGAGCATACTGTGTATCATTATCGTGCATACACTCTATGTACCGGACTCTCTCCCCGTACCCCGACCCCAAACCCCTGACCATAACCCGCGGACGGCTAAGTACGCCACAGCGGAACAGCCTACCTCCCTTTCAAGGCCATTACCTTTATTGACTAAAGACTTGTCTAAACTAAAGTCTTGTCCAATGCTTGTGATGTATCACTTATAGTTAAATGCGACCGCAATACACTCAGTCGAACCCCTATTCAGTGGACACCTTCGGGACTACACTAATGTGACTGCCTAAAAGGGGTGTCCGCTTAAGGTGGCTCAATACTGTATTTGAAAAAAAATGGAAAATTGACGAATTAGATGCGTATTTTTGGACAATTATTACTTGTTGATTATTAGAAGAGAAATAATTTTTTAAATAAAACTTGGGTGTCACCGATGTCATTTACGAATTAAATTACTTTAAAAATAAAAAATATCCGCCATCTTGAAACGTCATTTTTGCCATAGCAACGGCAGTTGCGTAACTTCTGTGCAAAAATTTAAACTCTTTAGATGTTGTTGTATATAAGTAATGTACTTCTTGTTTATCACCAAGTAATAATTGTCCAAAAATGCGCACCTAAATCGTGAATTTTCCATTTTTTTAAAACCTGTATTGAGCCACCTTAATAGCCAATAGAAGTTTACAAATTACAACCGAGAACACAGCAGGAGGTAACTGCCCACCTGATCATAGATTGTAGATCATGTATAATCTATAATCTATGACCTGATTTAGGAACGGCAGTGATCAAAGGTAAACGTGTCAACGGAGGGGCTGGTTATGATGTGAAACTTCCCTGCGAGTTCAAGTTTCAAGGAAACAGTTTTCATGCAATTGCTTGAAAGACAAATGAGAAAGAAAGCTTGTTTTAGAAGATTCGCTTTGAGTTTATACCAGATATAGAAATACTGCAAAACCCTTGTAACAAATACGTGTATGTCTATAGTGAATTTTCCTCAAATTGATTTTTACCATTATTTTTTTATGAAAATTTAATTCAGTATAATTACATTCAGTTACGTCTGTTCGCTTCATTAAGAGGGCTTATCAAGTTAAATAAAGTGTCCACTTAATAGGGGTTGTAGGGCCCCTGCCCTTAGTTGTATGATTACGCAAGAATCACGCGTGGGACACTCGCGGGACGATATATAGATTAACAGTTGCTTCGAGCACATGTAAAACGAGAGTTTATATAGTTCACATTTTGTTAGTAATAAAATATATATCTTTTGCAATCGTTATGTTCCATACGTGAAGGGAAATAGGAGTAACATTTTGGCGCCCAACGTGGGGCTGCCAACTGGTTTAGGGATGGAATTAAAGCCGATTTTGGTGGAAATATAAGCGACATTATGTAAGACGATACGAAAGGGTTTTGACTTTGCTGTATTTGTTTATACTATGGAGAATCTCGAGGAATTACAACTAAAAGTGGAAGAGTTACTTTATAAAAACGATGTGGATGTGTTATTGCAAGCGGCCGAGAAGTTAAAGTATGAAAAGATCGAAGAATTGAAAGAAAAGTCGAGGGGTCAGATAATAAATTTAGTACGGAGATGGCTTCAAGAAATTGTCGAAGGAATTGAAAGCCCGACGGCGAAAAATCAACTTTTGAACGATGTTTTTTTAACGCTTGGTGGCTCTCCTGAATTATCGCCAGTAAATGAGAAAGAAGGAGAATTGTCAAAGTTGCAACAGGAATATGAACAGTTAAAAAGCCAACAAGAGAAACAATTGTTAGAAATGCAAGCGAAGATAGATAAATTGGAAATTGGAGTTAATGATAAATCTGCCAAAGTCAAAGTAAACAGTAGTGAAAACGCATCAGTGATTGAAGTGCCTTCAAGTACCCGGGCGTTGTTGAGAAGAGACTTTAAGATATCGGGGCAGATTGGAGAACCAGGACAAGCAGAAAAACTGACATATATCTCTCTCAATCACCAGATTGAATCAGGGCTCAAACGAAAATACACTGAGGATGAAATTGTCGATGCAGTAATCCGAGCTATTTCACCACACACAAGCCTCCGTAGTTACATTGAGACAATGCCAGAACTTGGTCTTCCCCAACTACGAAAGATCTTAAGGATCCATTATTGCGAGAAGACAGCTTCAGAATTGTACCAGCAACTAACTACAATGTGCCAGAAACCCAAAGAAAGTGTGCAACAGTTCTTGTTAAGAATTATGGATGCAAGAAATAAAGTTGTTTTTGCTAGTAAGGAAGCAGACACTGATTTCAACTATGGTAGCCAGTTAATCCAGAATACTTTTCTGAAAGCTTTAGAAACTGGAATTCGTGATGAGTATCTGACAACTAGTTTACGACCAATTCTACGAAAGGACGGTGTGTCTGATGAGGAACTTATGCGAAGCATCAATGAACTTGCCTCCCAAAAGACCGAGAGAGAAAACAAGCTTGGTTTAACAGAGAGGCTGTCTGCGAAAAGTGCCAAGGTGAGTTCTGTTGAGGGGGCAAAAGGGAAAAAGGGGACATCCCCAGAAGCCAGTGAAAAACAGGACCTCCTCGCAGAGATCAAGGGAATAAAGTCTGAATTAAGTTCCCTTAAAGCAAAGGTTGAGGAACAGGTGTCTAAGAGTAATGCACCGTTCCAGCCAAGATATCCACGGGGTTGCCCCAAATGTAGGAGAGAAAACAATGGAAATACTTGCAGACATTGTTTTATTTGCTGTCAGGCTGGACATTTAGCCAGTCACTGCCCACAAAGGAAGGCGGAAAACGAACAGGGGCCATTTCCGAGGGACAGGAGATGGCCAAGAACATAGAACAAACGTCCCCTCAATGTGCGTTTTGCAAAAAACTCCAAGTACATGACACTATCCTTTGTTGTAAACAATGCAAAGCTGTTTATTATTGTGACCGGGAATGTCAAAGGAAACATTGGCATGATCACAAAGCAACATGTGTTGCCTTGCAAAGCATTAATCACAAGGATATGAAAGACAATGCAAACTTGGAATTCTTTGCAACCCACCTGACTCCAAGTCAACAGAATAAACTGGTACAGATAATTGGTAGAAAATGCATAGTATTGGGGAAATTAGACAATAAAGAAGTTAATGTGCTTTGGGACACAGGGGCCCAAGTGTCTTTGGTTTCAGAAAGGTTTTTGACACAAAGTCACCCAATAAAACAAATAAGAAGTTTGTCGGAACTTGTCGAGACTGACCTAAAACTCACAGCAGCAAATGGTAGTGTTATACCATATATTGGTTGGGTTGAATTAGCATTTACCTTGTCTTCAAAGAACACTCAGGTACGCGTGCCATTTTTGGTTACAACTGAAACAATTGAGCACCCAATAATAGGCTACAATGTGATTGAAGAAATTGTGACAAATGAACACAATGATTTATTGTCAGAAATTCAATCTTCATTTGTTGGACTTGACAATGGTGCAGCACAAGCATTAATTAACTTTGTTCAAAGTGCTGACAGTGATTATTTATGCAATGTAAAAACAAGCAAAAGAGACGTTGTTATACCAAGTGGTAAACAGGTAAACATTCAGTGTCGAGTTAATACAGGTCCAATTTGTGGGACTACCCCAGTTTTATTCGAACCAGATGAAACAATGCCTTGGCCCTCCTGCCTAGAAATCAATGAGACATTGCTAACAGTAAAGAAAGGGAAGACTAATTTTATCGAAGTGCAGGCGAATAACCCAACAAATCATGATATTGTTATTAAGCGACGGACAGTGTTAGGACGATTGCAACTGGTACGGTCTGTAACCGCAATACCAGTAAAATTGAGAGAGGAAACCGTTGAGAATGGTTCTCAGGTAGACCAAACTTGTAAAGTTAGTGAATGTTCTGTTGCTTTCACTGATGAAACCCAGCCCATGGTGGGCATCCCTGACCACATCAAGAACATTGACTTAAAGGGGTTAACACCAGAACAAAGATCAGTTGCGCTAAGGATGTTAGCTCAAGAAGCTGACGCATTTTCACAGAACAATGATGACATTGGGTGTATCCCAGATCTGAAAGTAACAATCAAATTGAACGATGAGACACCAGTACAAAAGAACTACACAGCAGTGCCAAGACCGCTTTATCCTGAGGTTAAAAGTTATGTTGAAGATCTCTTGAATAAGAACTTCATCAGGAAGTCAACATCCCCTTACAGTTCACCTGTAGTATGTGTCCGGAAAAAGGACCAAACGCTTCGGCTCTGCATCGACTATCGAGAACTAAATAAAAAAAGCATCCCAGATCGCCACCCTATCCCCAGGATCCAAGAGACACTTGACAGTCTTGGGGGTAATTCATGGTTCTCAGTATTGGACCAAGGAAAAGCATACCATCAAGGGTTTATGAGTGAGGAGAGCCAAGCCCTAACTGCCTTTATAACCCCCTGGGGCTTATATGAATGGGTTCGAATCCCATTCGGTCTTTGTAATGCCCCAGCGGCATTCCAAAGATTCATGGAAAACTGTTTGGATGACTTGCGCGACACAATATGTATCCCGTATCTTGATGACGTCATCGTATTTAGTGCCACGTTCGAGGATCATGTGGAACATCTTCGGAAGGTATTTCAGCGTTTAAGGGAAAATGGGGTAAAGCTAAAGCCTCGAAAGTGTAAGTTGTTCGAGAGAGAAGTAGTGTTTTTGGGACGTATTGTTTCAGAAAGCGGTTATCGAATGGACCCTGCAGGCGTAGAGGTTATCCACCATTTGAAGTCGTCCCCTCCAAAAAACGTTGGTGATGTTAGGCGTTTAATGGGACTGCTAAATTGCTATCGGAGATACATTCCAAATTTCTCTAGAAAAGCGAAACCAATATACGATCTAATTAAGAGTGACGGTGTAGAGACAGGAAATAGCAAACATAATATGAAATCGAAAGGACAGTTACCCTCTAGTACTATTGTGCAGTGGACTAACGATCATCAACTCATCCTTGAAGACCTGTTAGATCATTTGGTTGATCCACCTGTGATGGCCTACCCAGATTTTACCAAACCGTTTATTGTGTGCACTGACGCGTCTGAAGAGGGACTGGGAGCCGTCCTGTACCAAAGTCAAAACGGTGAAACAAGAGTTATTGCGTATGCTTCTCGACGCTTGACACCCGCCGAAAGAAATTACCATCACCATTCGGGCAAGTTGGAATTTCTTGCACTAAAGTGGGCGATTTGTGACCATTTTCGAGACTATTTGTATTATGCCTCGGAATTTACAGTGTATACTGACAACAACCCACTCACATACATCTTGTCTTCCGCAAAACTTAATGCAACGGGTTTACGTTGGGTCGGAGAACTGGCAGATTTCAATTTTACTATCAAATACCGCCCCGGTAAAGTGAACACTGATGCAGACGCGCTGTCAAGGTTGTTGCCAAATGTCGATAGTTACATGGAGATGTGCACCGAGGAAATTGCAATGGATACTCTCCAAGCCGTAGAGTCATCAATTTTGGAACAGCAAGCGAGTAACATCAGCTGGATCACAGCTTTTACTACAAATCAGGATGTGTTAGAAGAAGATATGAAGCACATTAACAATGTTTCCATGAACACCATTTCTTGTGACGAGATCGCACTTGCCCAAAGAGATGACACAGAAATTAGCAAGGTGATCAAATGGATTGAATCGAAAGAGAGACCTACTTCGGAAAAAACATCTAATGAATCACGCTATACACGGTACCTCCTGCACGAGTGGAACAAGTTGGAATTGGACAAACATGGATTACTTCGGAGAAAAAGTGGTTTGAAGAATCAAATAGTTTTACCTAAAAAGCTCCATTGGTTGGTGTACGAGGAACGTTCACGAGAAAATGGGCCACTTAGGAGCAGATAGGGTGCTAGAACTTGCCCGTTGCTCGGTTCTATTGGCCGCACATGCAGAGAGATGTAGAATCTTACATTTCACATAAATGTCGGTGTGTGAAGCAAAAAGTTCCTACTTTCCAAACTAGGGCACCATTACAGTCCATTACAACAACTGCTCCATTCCAGATGGTGTCTTTAGACTTTGTTCATCTCGAGAAAAGTAGTGGCGGTTACGAGTATATCTTGGTTATAATGGATCATTTTACCCGTTACGCACAAGCCTATGCAACCCGAAATAAGTCAGCTAAGACAGTGGCGGAAAAGTTATATAATGACTTTATTTTGCGTTTCGGTTTTCCAGAAAAACTCCATCACGATCAGGGAGGAGAATTTGAAAATCACCTCTTCAAACAACTGGAAAAACTGTGTGGTATTGGACATTCAAGGACTACCCCGTATCATCCGCAAGGCAATGGCCAAGTGGAACGTTTCAATCGTACCCTCCTTGCCATGCTGCGAACCCTACCGGAAACGCAAAAATCACACTGGAAAGACCACCTCCAGAAAATGGTTCACGCCTATAATTGCACGCGTCACGAGTCAACTGGATTCTCGCCATTTTATCTCTTATTTGGCAGACATCCTCGTCTACCTATTGATATGATCCTAAACCTGGAGAGCGAGTCAACTGAGTCACCGAATTATAGAGAGTATGTTAACAACTGGAGCGAAGCGATGTCTGAAGCGTACAAGATTGCAAACAAAAAGAGTTCACAAAGTAGAGCGAAAGGGAAAAAGCTATACGACCGCCGCATCCGTAGTTCGGAGTTACGACCGGGGGATAGAGTTCTTGTACGAAATCTGAGTAAGCGAGATAAACCTTGCAAGCTGCGAAGTCATTGGGAAGACAAGATACATGTCGTGGTCACTAGGAGAGGGGAAGATAGCCCAGTCTATACAGTTAAACCCGAAAGTTCTGATGGCCCGAGTAGAACTCTTCATCGTAATATGCTGTTACCGTGTAGTTCACTTCCCGTGGAACCGCTATTGAACCAAAAAACGCCTCCTCGTCGTCAAAGAGAAAATACAGTTCCTCCCAGCACAAGATCTACTAGTCAACCGGAATCAGATGAAGACGAATTAGATGGGTTAACATTTGTACCATTGGCGAATGATCAGAGGAGTGGGGCGGACGTAACCGATGCCGTGACACCAGCTCAAGACGGCGACCACGGACATGATGAGATAGACAGCTCAGAGTTACCAGCGGTCGAGAACCCAGATGTATTGGCCCTTGATGAACAACAACCAACCATTCCACCGCCAGCAACGGAAAATGCGTCTATTCCACCACCACCTATGGAAAATACCAGACCTAGCAGAAACAGAAACCCACCACCAAGACTAAATTATTGGACACCAGGTAACCCAGTCACAGGCATTTCATACCCTGGTAGTATGAACACTATTTTCGGTTTTGTAGAGCCTAGTCAACCAGGAGTGATGCCTTTCCCACCAATGAATTCCATTCCTTATATGTGGCAGCCAACCCCCCTACCTTATAATCCCTTCGCATACCTCGGACCTCATTGTCCGTACTGTGGAACAATGTTCTTTAATTAGATAAGTACGTTAACGTTGTATGGAACTAAAGATCGTGATCTTCGAAAGAAACTTTAAGTGCATGTTAGTTTTGAAATTTGAAACGATGTTGTTTGAAAGCATACGATAGTGGAACGAGTAATAAGAAACGAACTGACTCTTGCCCGAAATGACTGCAGCATCTCGTGTTGGATAAGTTTGTGAGATTTGTAATTGTTGGAGATTTCGTGATTCATTGAATCAATGTCGTGTTTGACATTTCTTTCTAGGGGGAAAGTGTAGGGCCCCTGCCCTTAGTTGTATGATTACGCAAGAATCACGCGTGGGACACTCGCAGGACAATATATAGATTAACAGTTGCTTCGAGCACATGTAAAACGAGAGTTTATATAGTTCACATTTTGTTAGTAATAAAATATATATCTTTTGCAATCGTTATGTTCCATACGTGAAGGGAAAAAGGAGTAACACAAGCACTCGGTCACTCTTCGATGGAAGCCATATTGCTTTGGTTTCGCGCGTTTTTTCCAATTTCGCGCACTAATTTATTTGAATTTTGTAGATGGAATACCGCTGACTCGTATGTATTGCAGTTTCAGATTTGTACGTATCTTGTCTATGATCTAGTGCCGACCGCTGCCGTTGGAACTTTTGAAATTTAAATCCCGTCTGGCGTCGCTCTCCATGGCAACAACTATCTTATGTAATGGAGTTTAGTAAAATCAAATAAAAAGGTATTTCTACGGATATCTTGAACTTAACTTGCTGATTAATTGTTGGTTTTTCGTCAGTAATGATAATGGATAATTTTGCGAGTTTTCATCGAATTCAATCATATATACGCTCAAAATCTTCGCAGTACGTTTCTCTTTACCATAAAATTTGACCGAATAAGTTTCAAAACAATGCGACGGCAAAAAATGCAAAAATCTTGATTTTCGTAATAGAATCTATAGTCTTTTTGCCCTCTTGTACCGCCATCTTGGATTTATCATGTAGGCCCCGCCTGCGCTAGGTATGCGTTAGCAATCTAGATCTCCTATATCTATGCACGCATCATATCCGAATAAGGACTGGGGAGCACACAAAATCAAAACAAGTGTGCTCACATTTGTTTATACTTTTGACACATGCGCAGAAGGGACTGTAATCTAGCTTTAAGCTCCTGAGCTGTATATTTTGCATTTTTGTTCTCCTCTTCAACTGCCAACAGCCTAACTGTGTCTTTCGCATATATATACTCTCCAGCATTGAATATTTTATTGCGTGTTGCCTTTGTAAAAGGTATAACATTATCTTTTCTAGCACATTTCTTCAAAAACAAAAAACATATGATTTTTAATAGGAATCTTGACTTGTATAGGATTAAAAAATAAAACGAAAATAACACTTTAGAAAGAATCCTATACAAGCCGAAGTCGTTGTATTTTGAAAACTTCATGCGAAAGGCGCCATTTCCTTCAAATGCCCCGAACAAAAAGTGCGCCTGTGGCAAAACATTCCCCGTAAGGATGTTAATCTAGATATCATTTTGATCCCCGAGACACGCTCTGTTTTCCTGTTTACCTTAACCCTCAAGGAAAACGCGCACAAAGCACGCGCTCGTTGAATTTGAGGAATTTTTCAATTATCAAATTCGCTACCAAGCTCTCAAATTTGTCGCGCGGTAACGAAAAAAATTGACACAGTTTAATGTGCAATTTTGCGTGCAAACATGCCAGGCGTGCAATGGTTCGTAATCGTACACACCTAAGGTGTGTAATTGGCTTCCATATTGCAAAAGATGTGCAATTATACACACCTTTTTTTCGAAAAGGTGTGTATTTATACAGACATTGGTGTGTAAAATTACACACCAGTCTTTAAAGTGCACATTAGGTCTATATTTTTGGACTAAGTCCCATCGACTGTCAAGTCTGTGCAAGTTGTTACTGCGGAACATGCCTGCATGGGCTTTAAAACTACCCTGGACATCTAAAGGCTCCGAACAAAGGTCTTGTTCGCATGCATTTATCAAATTATGAAAACAGCATGGTGTCGGCATAATCCATCCATGCATGCAGTTTGTTTATTTTCTTAGATTGTTAAATTAAAGCATAATTTAATCAGGTGTATTCCCTTTGATTTTCATGAGTTGTCAGTTTCACTTTTAAATATATATTATCATATGTAATAACAGCAAACACCTTACAACTCGCGTTGATTGGGAGTAATATTGTCGTCTCTTCCAAAATAATATTGTTCCTCTGGTATAGCTACTGTATAATAAAGGTTAGTATTGTGGAGTACTTGCTTACTTTTTGTTTCAAACGCTCATGATAAAATTTGGTACGTATATGACTATGTATCCTGTAATGGATCTGAGGTTATTTCAAGTATTTGAGATTCTAATGTAATTGGTCCAATTCTAAATAAATGCTAGTATATATGAACGGGTGTCTAAAATAACGCTATGGAAATTCAACAGGCTGTCGGGCATCATTAACGGGGCTAAACAATTCAAATTTACATACGACAAAAGAACAGTTATGTAGCTTTTCAATGATACTCTTTCTAAATCGTAACGATGAGAAATGGCCACATATACTCGTCAAATAAATATTGCCTGTCGAACTCACATTCTTCCGCCGTTGGGAATAGCATGGAAAACGAAACATAGACAATTCCCGAGAGGGAATTAAAGTTGAATGTTAAATTAGTCTAAAATGAGCTCAACTCGTCAATCTTCGTCTTAGGCTGGGATTACACTATACCGGATTGATTTTCATACCGGATCAATTTTCACACCGAAGCCAAAATCAAGGGTCGTATCTTTTATCGTTGCCACGGAAACAAATAATAAGTTTTGACCATTTTGGACGTTTTCTCGACAGTACTTGTGAATTATAACTTTGTTTACAAAGCTTGACCACCCGACGTTGCTTTGTCTCGCTCTTATCGAAAATTGACGAGTATTTCATTAAATTTTGCCCTTTTGAAAGCAAGAAGTCAATGTTATTACCGCTATCTTTATTTGTCTTTGCTAGAAATAATAAATAATTGTAAAGCGAAGCAAACAACAGCTATAAAATATTTAAAAGCGAGTAAATAAAACGACAATGTTAAAATATACTTGCCGAAACCTATTTATAGTACCGGAGCGTACCGGATTGCTTGATTACACTTGGTTTTATCCGGTACAGCACGTACCGGATTACTTTACATATCACCTCCAAAGCGAAGTGATTTTCGCGCCGCGGCACGTACCGGATTACAGTGACGTAGTGTAAACAAGAGGCCAATCCGGTACAGAAATCGCGTCGCTTCGATGCAATCCGGTATAGTGTAATCGGGGCCTTAGTGAGATAGGCTAATAAGAACGTCCATTGTCGCGTTAAACATGGTTGAAATAACCACAGAACAGAGAACATTCGTTATCAGAACGTTTTACGAAACAAATATCTTGCAGCAGGCTCGCGTTGCTTTTAGATTGTTAACTTTGAATAATTAATGTATTTCAATTCACAACGGTGGAAGAATATGATTTGGACCGGCAATTTATTTGACGAGTATGTGGCCATTCAGTCTCATCGTTACGGTTTAAGAAAGGTATCATAGAAGAGCTAAATATAACTGTTCTTTTGTCCAATCGGATTGAATTATTTTGCTAAGTTTATGATACACCACAGGATGTTGAATTTCCACAGCGTTTTTTTAAACACCCTTTGTATCGAATATGTATGCTTATACGGCAGAATATCAGTCAGCTTTTGCACAACATAGGGTTTTCACTAAGTACTGTGACAAAACACGATAAGATCATTACTCACAGCCTGTGAGGCCCGTACTAAAATAAGCATATTAGTGAGCTTGGCAAATACAACGGCAAAGTCGATGAAGACGTGATCATCAAAACAGCATTTTACTCCAAGACAAAAGCGACTATAATTGTATTCCCCTGAACATTCTACAAACGAAAACTATTGAAATCACTTATTGTTAAATTTGAATGCCCTACCAAACAGCTGGACGTAATGATGCGTAAATATTGACAAGGTACATGTATTAGAATTTAGTTAGTAATATCTTCTGGTAAAGTGCGCGATTTTCTGTTCCTGGGAATTAAAAACAGCTTCTTAAACAGTTTCTTTAAGCATAAAATTTACTTATGTCAATCATTTATGCACGCGTGGGAACCAACAGAGCGCTAACTGCTAAGGCATTCAAATTCTAACAATTAAATTGTTATTGGTGATTTCAATAGTTTTCGGGGTTTTTTGGGACACCCTGTAGTAGTACGTTGTTTGTCAAACTGCTCCGTTCAATATTTACATCTGTTCATTTCAAAGGTTATATAGCGACCACGCCAACAGTTAAAAAGTTGTATATAGGTTGTTTTATGTCAATTCACTGACTACGTGCTACCATATATAAGTGTTGTTTATAAAGAAATACACTACTTTTAAGAGAAAAAGAAACTTTAGTAGCATGCCAGACTTGGGATGAAGTCCATTGGAGTCATTTCATTTTATTTTCCTATCTTAGTACAGTAAGGATGGATTTTTCAACATTTTCGGTAATTTACCATGTTTGAAAATTGGTACTGAAAACCGGTTAAAACCGTGCCAGTACGGACCAGAAAAATAATTCACTTATTTTACATTCAAGCTTTATTCTTGAGTTCCTACACTGCGCTGATGAGCCCCAAAAGGGCGAAACAGCTGTCCGCAGTTGCTGGTAGTGAGCTTGGGGCACAATTGCCCATAGGCCTTTGCGCTGATTTAAATCTGTGACATGCAGAGATCATGCGTATTAGGTTGAATGGCGTTCTTGTCGCATATAATAATTTATGTGTCCCACATCCATCATCTCATTGTTGGTTGTATAAATACTTTTCGGATGAAAAGCTCACTATCAGCTACACTGCGCTGATGAGCCCCAAAAGGGCGAAACAGCTGTTCGCAGTTGCTGGTAGTGAGCTTGGGGCACAATTGCCTATAGGCCTTTGCGCTGATTTAAATCTGTGACATGCAGAGATCATGCGTA